GGGGGGGGGGGGGATCACTCTGCTCCACAGGGATACAAAATAGAGCGTTCAGGTTGGTGGTTATACTGGCTCCCACATGGACTTAAAGTTAAAATCAGAACTCTTCACCTTCCATATATTGATTCTCTCTTGCCGGTGTAGGACACCCCTTTTTAAAATTCGAACAAAGTATCCTGGATATTTGAACATGGGTGTTTGAAGTGGACGTCAGGGAGCTCTTCTCCACACCGAACCACTTGCATAACAGGCATAATTCACTGCTTTCAAACAGGAGGCTGCAGCATCTGGCGTTCAACTGGCCACCTTGCCGCTCCGCTTTAAAATGCTGATTTAGCGCTTAACTCAGAGGGGGGAAGTGGAGGGACAAAATACCTTTAATCTCTGTCAATGAGCACTATGCAGATGAGGCAGGTTATTTTCAAAAGGACTATGCAGTATCATTCATTGTTTAGTTTTCCCTGACGTTTTCACTGAACTGATTCACGCAAGACTGAGTTAGAAGATATTAAGGTTCAGACTTCTGCAGTACGCTGTTATTTATATGCGTTACATAATGCAGATAGTAAATATACAAATATGCATAACATAAGCCTATGTAGAATCAATGAATTCCGGTGTCTGTGTCGCATTATTAACCACTCGAGGCTTTGTGTTTACGCATCTGCTCATGTGAACTTGTCACCACAGGAGGACGAGGCAGAGGAGGAAGAGAAAGACGAGTGAGTCACATAACGGCACACACTCGCAAGGGGAGTCACGCCTTCTGAGTCACGCATCAGAAAAAAAAAATAAGCAAAGTTTAGATCAGTGCTGTGTGGGTCAGATGTGGGTGTGCAGGAGAGTTGGTGGGGGGGACAAGGGGGGGGCAGGCCATGTTGAAGCAAGGACAACTGTTGCAGAGGCTTAACCACGCAGGAAATGTGACATGCATAGGTGCAATGTCTGGGAGGCTTTTGTCACTGTGCCTGTAAGGGGCAGTCACCCAAGGTAAATAAAGGAGAATTGTGCAAATGAGGTAATACCTTAACAAAGCCGGTGTTCAGTCCCACCACAAGTTTCATTAATATTTAGTAGGATATAGAAATGGATGCCCCCCCCCCACTCTCACCTCCTTTCTGAAGTGTTGTGTTAATGCATATTCTCGAAAGACTAGATAAACAGGGCAGCACTGTGTGGCCCGTCCTGACAGGAACTGCAAAAAAAAAAGTGTAGTGTAATTTGAGACAGTGACAATTACATCACTAACCTTCATGAAATGTGCCGTGGTCTGGATCAGCAGATCATACCTGCTTTTAGAAGCTGCCGGTCAAGGAAGAGTTTGACCATAAATCATAATTTGGCAGATAGACACTGTGACGTTTATCATTAGCTCTCAGACCCACGTGACATCAGGACAGGCTGCCAGGTCTGGAGAAGGGAGTACCACACAAGCAGCACCGCAGCACATGCACAGCGTCGCTTTTGGGGGGGGGGGGGTGCGTAACATCAGTAGGGACACTGGTCTAACCTGGGGGAGCGAAAAAAGCTCCATTATGTTTATAAACAGGAAGCAAACCGATCCAGAACAGAGCTGCTCTGCGGCAGTAGGTGGGGGTTTGAATTTCATTGGGTGTAACTCCACCAGGAACCAGGTTTCACACAGAGTTAATTAAATGCCTGTTGTATCCACACAATCTCAGTAGGGGGCACACAAGTTCAATTTCCCACCCCCTTCATCCCCTCAGGCAGGTGCAGAAACAGAACTCTTGTTTACAAGAGTGAAGATTGTTTTTTTTCCCTCTATTCAAAGCGCCTACATTCAGCTTCTGTTCCATCCATAATTGCAGCAGCTCCACCGAAAGGGGATGACCTGACCTGTGGCTCAGATGCGCTCGCTCATGGGAGAGTGACACCCTGAGGTCAAAAATAAGTATACAAATAACCATGTCAAAGTGCTTCAGCTTCCTCATTGGCTCCTTCCCCACCATCACCATGGCAACGAAGGGTGGGGTTTCCATGGAAATGCTTTTACAGGGTGCCCTAGGAGCACATGCTAGCAGCAGGGGGCCACGGGAGGGGGCAGGCGTGTTTCTGGTCGACCTCCCCATGTCCGTGGCAGGTAGACGTGTCACACCCACATCACCACGCATTGCCCACCATATCGCCAAGCCAACAACCATGTGACTCTTCGTGTCCCAGCATCCCAACTCACAAACCTCACATTGTAGTCGCCCCCCCCCCCCCCCCACTCTGTCTTGTCAAACTAGGGATGGGCTGTGTGCAGTTCCATGGTGCCACAATTCATTTAATCATGACATTTAAGCATAATAAGCATGTAAAAATCCAAGGAAATGACTAGCAGTATCTAACATCTGAAGGAATTTGCTTCACACATCAGCAGAGGATTCATCAACAGTATGCCGAGCCTATAACCTTCAACAAAACACACCCGTCCTGAAGCTGCCGGAATTTCAAGTCGGAATTGTCACCCGTTCCGCTACCCCCTCCCAAAGGAATACTAGCGATTGCTCACTTCGTCCTCACCGAAATGAAGAAAGCAACGACGCCGCTGCACGTTAAATTGGAATGGCCCGTACAAAAACTGTCATTTCACAGCCCAGACTAGGGAATTGGTGTCACGCTGAAGAGCTCCCATTTCTCTTCTAGTCAGATCCCCGTCATGTCATGGTGTATATCTACCCAACTCAGAGGAACTGGTTTCTACCAGCGTGACAAATAGTCACACTGATGGGCACGGGGAGCAGAAAGGGCAAGCCCCCCCCCCCCCCCCGTCAATGATTATTGAAAAGTAAGAAGGCCCCTGATTCCGCTGGCAGGTTTCAGCCATAAACATGGCGTGCGATTGCCTTCGTTTAATTCTTGCACATGCAGCCGTAACAGAAAAGTATGGAAGGTGAAGACAGGCAAAGGAACCCACAGCTGAATTCCACTTCTAAATTACACCAGCAACAGAACTGATAGCAGGAACAAAGGAGCAGCAGCTCAAGCCCACAGGGGGTGTCCACCAGGCCAACCTCCCCCCCACTGCATCGAATGAGCAACAGGCCAATCCCACACGGGTCTCAAATCTCCACCCTCAGGCACCAGCTTGGAACCAGGAAGTGTCAACATTTTACAGTCTGGAGATACTGCAACCTGGACCCCAGGCTCAGAGCCCCGTACACCACAAATATACACCACCTTCAGGGGCATCACATACAGCCTGAGGGTCTATCCTGGATCACCACAGCATTTGCCCATCAGGGGAGCCACAGTGACTCAGTCCCCCCAGAATCCAGACCCCCCCACCCCCACCATCGGCGAGCTGGGTCCAGGAGGCAGAGCAGCAACATAGGCTGCCGCGTCACCATGGCAATGTGGCGTAATGGTGGAAGATCCCAATGCCTGGCAACCGACTTTATCTGACAGAGAATTGATGTGTTTACTTTACAGAGCCCGCTTCACGTTTCTGTGGATGATGAATTATCAGGTTATCAATGAAGGATTTCAAAGTAATTTATGGAAAGGTCACATTCAGTATAAGAGGCTTAAGATATTTTTCATCATCAGTAATTTCAGAGAGTATGGTTGTGTCACATCACAAAGTTCTAACAAGCTAACTTCACTTGTGAATAAGGGCACGTCACCCTCAAGGGCGCAAAGCATACAACAAAAACAAATCAACGTTTAACTTACTTACTATTCTTCAGTCACACAGTTCACCAGTACCTGACCCATGACCCATGGAGGGATTGGGGATGTCTTTCTGAGGAAGCTCCCCCCTCCCTCTGTCTCAAACAAACAGGCCCCCCGCTAGCTGGGCCACTTTGGAATTTTGTAGAAAGATCAGGCCTTTAGGGCTCTACCTAAAGGCAAAAAGAACTTCTATATAACTGGCAAGCGGTTCAAGGCTGTTGGTTTGATGATGATGATGATGATGATGATGATGAAGGTGTTCTCAGGAAAGCTTCATGGTCACCCAGCCGCCAGGAGGTGACTTACTCTGGACAATCCTATGGTGACATATGCCAATTAAGCAAATGCTAAAATATCCATTTATCAGTAAGAAAGACACTACACAGCTACTGAGTTTGTCACCAAGTTCATCATGCCATCTAATGGCTGTGTGACAGTTAAAAGGTCGAGTGGGAACATTTCATAGGAGCTTTGGGTCAGATCCTGGACAATGGGCAGGTGGAGCATCATCTAATTGTGAGACAACATCAAGCTACCATGACCACTACTGAGCAGATGGAATGGTGAAATATGAAGGAAATGGTCAGGGTGGGATTTAGGACCCAAACTATTAAAAGGTTGCTGTCAGAAAACCAGCAAAGCCCAGATCTAAGCAGATAATAAGCCCCCCCACACACAGAGTATAGTGGTTTTTTTGTGCCTGTCATTTTTTCTCTCCCCACCTTTTAACTGTTAGCACTATTGTGAGAAGACTGCTGTACATCCTAATCAGCAGAAAGTCATTTATCAGGCACAGCGAAAATGCACCTGGGACAGATCCGAGTTGCCTGTCCCCGCTAATCAAGTTAATTTTCCAATCGAAAGTCCTTCGGTGTGGTTCTGCTGAAAGTAATTACTGTTGCGGTGCAGATTGCGAGCAGCAGTTAAATAGTGATATCAATACTCTTCCTATGGTTTAAGATTTACAGAGTATCATTTGCATATCGCACTTGTAGAGTGAACTATTGGTTGACATTTTGCTAGTCAAACTAGCAGGAATTAGGCTACAGCCGTGGTAGGACAGTTTGAGAGAGCAGCAAAACCTGATAAATGCCCATATAAATATATGATGCAGTAGGAAATTCTGACCAGGTAGGAAAATGCGACAGAATACTGGCGCGCAGCCCAGGGATGGAACCGGTGCCTGAGACCCCTTTAGCCCTACTCCGTGATCGCTGGGACACACAGTGTAAAACAAAACACCGGGAAAGTATTCAGGCGTGTGCACGGGTGAAACTGCTACTGTAAATGAGTGGAATAACTGGCTGGACAGCACATGCGAAATATAAATGTCAGCTTTCAGGTTTGTATTTTGCAGGATTGTACATAAGAGGGCACATTTTAACCACACGAAACAGGGCATATGCGGAAGACTTGTGAAGTAACGGTGCGCTTGCGAATTCTGAGTCCAGTCATGGTAACAGGGCGACTACACAAGCTTGAGAAACCACAAAAACATTATTTGATCCATTATTTTATCCATTTAAAAAAAGGTCAATTCACCTTACAGCAGCCTTAGATTCAGACCAAAAACACCTTTGGCTGCCATGTCATACCTACATGTGAAACCGTACCCTTGTTCCTTCATTTTTATTAAGCTCACAAATCAGTCAATTGACCAGCTTTCCGTGTAATTCAGGACCAAGTGGTGTAAACTTGTCTTTGTTTAACCTATTTTTTATTTCTTTCTGAAGAGGAATTCACAATAGTAAGTTTTTATTCTTCCTGATGCTGAATTTACATTGAGAAATTAATTAACCTGTGATATTCACTTACAAACAGGATTCAACACATTTTAATATGAAAATCTTAATTCTCAACTGCATGCTAGAAGGATGAAGTCCAACTGGTGCAAAATAAATAATTTATATTCTGTAAAAAATGTTAAACAGAAGAGCAGGCTGTGCAAACCTGATGGAGGTTAAGATACAATAATATTGTTCTAGGAATAGAAGTCTACCCCTTGTCTTAATATAAATGCTTTTAGACATTAACATTAGTAACTGGTACAGTCACGCAAGCTTTTGACTCTGCTATGGAGCCATTTGTGTTTTCTGCAATTAAGTAAAAAAAAAAAAAAAAGATTAAAGAGTTGCCTTTTGGCAGAAATAAATTCAGCTAAGCACCTTTGAGCGTTGCTGTCCACAGACATTCAGTCCATGCGGTCTAAAGTGTGTGAAAGGGTTGGGCTGAGATAGGGGACTGTTTGGTCACAGGAAAATGAGCAGAGTCATGTGAGCACAGGTTAGGCAAATCCGTAACTGTCACAGCGAGGCGAAAAATGGGAAGTCGTCCAGTAGTCTGTCCTGATAATGGACTCACTGAGCGAGTCTCAACAAAAAACAGCGAGACCTCAGAGGCCTGGTTAAGTGAAGGCAGGATGTACAAACCCTGGAGTGGCCACCCATATCCAGATGGACAGACTTCAACATCGCCACTCTGACATCCTCAGATTCACCACGACAGCTGCTGTGAGCCAATCCTCCAGCAAAGACCATCCCATTGTTCCTGTGAAAGGCCGCAGGTTCCCAGTGTTACAGAGATCCAGGATTCCATTAATGGGGGATGGGGACCATTTGCAGTTTGACGTGCTCCAGTTTGGCCATGCAACCTCTGGTGGTCTTACTTTCACATGTCTTCATTGTGCAAAGCTGCCCTCTACTGGTCTTTGACCTGTAGTGAAAGAATCAAATAGTAAATATCCACCCATCTTCCATCTACTCATCCACGAGAAGCCCTGGAGCTCAAGGCAGGATATGCTTTGGACAGGATGCCAGGTCATCACAGGGCACATGGACATGTACATACTCACACATAAGATCATAGATTATGGACAATTTAGAAGGTACCTGTCGTACTTTGTCTGTTTACTACTGTCTATTGCAGAATGCCGTTTGTATTGAATGTCCGTATGTCTGCACTTCAGAAGTAGCCACTGCAATTCTGTTGTACAAGTAGCATCCGTGCTCCAGTATGACAATAAAGGCTTTCTATGTCTATTCTATTTCTATTCTATTTCTATTTCTACCTAGACCAATACAATATAAGAGATTAATACTGTAGTAAAGCAGATTTCTGGACTGTTGATTGTATTCTCCAGCTATTAGTGACACACACACAGCAGATCTCTTACCTTACGGCTCGAATGTACCGTCATACATTTCTGAAAAGCTAAGAGTGAAAAGAAGGGGATGTTAACCAAAAGTTAACCAAACTGATAACTTGAAAAATTTGCCAAAATACCCATGGAACTGAATTTTCTGACCTAAGGTTAAGTAAAAGCCAACACAAACCCCCCCAGTGCAAGTCTGAAGCATTTGATCAAAAGTTATGCATTTGTATGTTGTATTTATCGGTATATTAAAATACACACGTAAATACAAACATACATGTATTAGATCACTCCGCAGCAGATTCCCCAGTAATAACAGGAACCCAACACCCCAACTACTAAGGCTTGCGTTTCGGAATCACAGTGTTCTTGGATCCAGAGTTCAACTGGCAGGATCAGTGCTCCAGTTGCAGGATGCATTGAACACCCAATCAATCATTAACATCGTGCTCTGTACTGACAAGATGGCCGACCGCACATACTGGGTAACAGATCACCAGGTGCAGGGAGCCGAATCGGCCTTGCAAATCTCAGGCCCAAGGGCTCAGTTTCTGGTCGGCCCACCCTGTCCGTATAGAGCCTCTCTGATTGGCTGATTGGACTCACGGCGAGCGGGTCAGCAGTGAAAGCAGCGACGCTGTTCCTCATCTCGTTCTCGCTGCCGCGCAGTGGGATCAGAGACACGTTACCCAGCCTGACGTCCAGCGGGGCTGTGCGATTAGCCCGCACCTTCATCGTGTCCGCTGGCCACACACTGCCCTCGTGCTGGAAGAGATGGAGGAGTTGGGGGGTTCAGGGGACATGAGGGGTCAGGTGACATGATTCCAAAGAAAAGAATGCGAGTCTCCTAAAGCCATAGGTTGGGTGTCACTGTGGACTCTCACCTGGATGCTCATGAAGGTGGCAAACCATTCCCTCATGTCCGCCTGCGTGTCGCAACACAGGTACCTGTGAGCAGACGGCATGAGCCATGGTGAGCGACGGCTGGAAGCTTCCGGAGAACGGCAGTGCCGCTGACCATTCTCTCGGCTTTCTCCCACACTTATAACAATGTTGACCGTGTGCATCATTCTGGGATGAGACAGAGGGGCCGAGTCTGATTGTACCCTGAAGGGGGGGCCGGGCTTTAGCTGACTGTACTGGGTGCGAGGGCGTGAGGCTGTCCTGCATCCTAGAGTGTTTCATCCCTCCTCCCAACCCAAGGGGTGGAGCAGTTGCCTCCGCGCGGACCCTGACTCCCTTTCGCCTCCACGCGGACCCTGACTCCCATTCACCTCCACGTTGACCCTGACTCCCTTTCGCCTCCACGCGGACCCTGACTCCCATTCGCCTCCACGTTGACCCTGACTCCCTTTCGCCTCCATGCGGACCCTGACTCCCATTCGCCTCCACGTTGACCCTGACTCCTTTTCGCCTCCACGCGGGCCCTGACTCCCTTTCGCCTCCAAGCGGGCACTGACTCCCTTTCGCCTCCAAGCGGGCCCTGACTCCCTTTCGCCTCCACGCGGACCCTGACTCCCTTTCGCCTCCAAGCGGGCCCTGACTCCTCTTTGGTGCTTGCGAGGGACCGAGCGCCACGTCACTCTCAGACATTCATGCGACCTGGCTTACTGCTTGTACTCGTGAACTTGTCATGAGCGCTCGGCCTTACCGCATATCTGGCTGCTCGACTCTCAGCTTCCCCCCCCCCCAACACTGAGGTTAGCGATTCAGATCATCACTTACTCGCCACAGACCGCCCACACCGCCATCTCCCTGTCTGTTCACCTGCAGATAAGTTTCCCTGCGAAACTAAAATGGTGGCTTCTGGTCCACAGTACGGTGAGCTGTTACCATTCACACACTCACACACTTCTTGGTCACGTACTCATGCACACCCCCCCATCACCCCCCACCATGACGCTTCCTGTGATAGGAGGAGCCGGGCCAAAGTGGGTGGGGCTAGGGCACATGGGCAAATGTGACAGACCCTATGTCTGTGGGGCTTATGGCTGTGTGTGTGTGTGTGTGTGTGTGTGTGTGTGTGTGCGCACACGTGTTTGAGAGCTGGGGGAATGGGGCTATGCGGGGGCAGTTTTCCTCAGATGATTCAGCCTTCATGAAGCAAAAAATGATCACATGAAAATACGCATGAGCAGCCACAGGGAGGCTGGGCGGGACGCCGGCCTTCGAGAGGGCCGCCATTGGACCGCACAGGTCACATGACTCACCACTGCTGCCTCTCGGGCTTCTCGTGCTTCTCGTTCTCATGTACCACAGTCAGGCCCCAGCTGGAACAAGGAGGCTGTTGGTTAGCTAAGGGTCAGGCATGGGCAGCCAGAGCATGGCACCAGCATCGCATAGGGGTACGCAATGGGACAGAACACAACGTGTCATTAAGTGAAGCAGATACACTAATTACTCATTTTCATAGGAACAAAGTACATTATTCTCTTAGAGTCAAATGGTAAGCAAAGCTTGGTTGTACTGCCCCCATGTGGTCACTGTAACAATTACTTACATTTACTGCTCAGGTAAGTATTAAGTTAAGTGGAAATCCATCTGACAGCATATGACTGTACACTCTGAATATCCGAGACATTCATATTGTCCTAGCCAAAGCACCAGTCAGACCAGCTTCACCCATCCCCTCGTTTTCCTGGAGGTTACTGGAGGCTGATGTAAGATTCCGCAGTCCCATGTACTGCCACCAGAGGGACCCAGTCCCAGTTCTCACCATGTAGGAGGTCGTAGCTTCTTCCGGATGCCCTGGTATACTCGGAGGTTTTTCACAGGCCACTCCTTCTCAGGTCGATTGCTCTGTGGGGGCAGCAAGTGGATGGGGGGGGGGGGCTATTCAAATTGATGGGCAATGGGTAAAAATACAACCCCCTCCCATCAGATAAGAGGACAGGTTTCCTTTAAACAAGAAAATGTGCACAATGATTTTCCCCATAGGAATAACGCAAAGAATTTTCCCCTGGGATCAATACAGTTAATCCAATGTAGTGTAATGTACTAGATGCAGCCTTTGCTTCCACAGAAGAGAGCTCAGAGAAGACCCCACAGCGCCCCCTATGGGAGGGGGTAGAGAGAGACTGACAGTCCAACAGTACTTACACACTGATGCTGAGGAAACTTTTGTAGGCTCTGTGAGTAAAAATTATTTAAAATAACCAACTCAGAGATTCGTTTTGTTAATTTGGTGCCAACCAGGATGTTTTTACTTTGTGTTTCAGTGTCACAGAAACATCTGGACTCATGTTTTGTGAAGTGTTTATAATTAGTGTTATGCCTCTTACGTTTCACACACACACACACACACACACACACATACATTTGTATTCATATCTTTGTGGTGACCATCCATTAATTTCTATGGGAAAAACCCATAATCCCCACAATGACGACCCTAACCCCCACCCAGCCCTAACCTTTACCATAAATAACCAAACAAAATACAAGACATTCATAATTTTTAGTTTTTCGATTTCATTCACAATTTTTTACAAAATTGAGGTTATCCTGATTGATTTTTATCACAGTGTGGGGAAATATGGTTCCCATAAGGTAATAATTCCAAAAACACAGACGCACACCGACAAAGCCTTACACGAACTTCCTTGTACAGCCTGAGGGAGGTGCTGCTCAGGATAAAATAGCGGTCATGGAAGCTGCCAGCCCCAAGGCCCAGGCCCAGGAGGTTACGCTCCTCGCGGAACTTCATCATGCCATGCTTGGACACTTCCACTTTGCTGGCTGGAGGGGGGAGGGCAGAACAGGTCAACGCTGCCAGCCTGAACCATTTGAGTGGTCGCCTAGCAAACAGGCATTCAGTCAACTAACAGGAGGCTCATGTTATAAACACACATCCAGCCAAGCGTCCCCCCCTGCAGGGAGAAGAGCGTCTGCTTTGTGGTACATAATCTGTACGCTTCAGGTGGGACGAACTGCTTGACTTTCTGTCCCTCACACTGCAGGCTTTGTGTGAATTTTCAACAAGGCTGGTCTGTTTTTGAAATACTCTTTCTTACTTCAGCCATAAAGTATGAGGAGACTGGGCACTGAATGAGAGGAGATAGTCCTTTCAAAAAGAAAAGATTAAATTCCTCAAGGCTGATGCGTTGTTTTCTTTTAACAAATAAGCAAAAAGAAGTTTTTTTTTTGTTTTTTTTTTGCTTTGCTCCATATTGATGTGAATTATTCTCTACCCACAATGCACAGAGAGATGTGACCATCCTAAGACTACAGCACAGATAATGGAGAAACTCCCATAATTGTACATTAAGATCTCAACCACTCGGCTCTGCTGTTGTGGTCTCTTACCTAAGTAGACCAGCATGGCCTCCATGGAGATGTGTTTCTTTACCACCAGGTAGCTATCCGTGCCCAGGGAGTGAAGGACAGGGAGCACTTTCTCCTGGTAGTGCAGAGGTCGTTCTAGGTCAAACAGGAAGTCAACTTGAGCACAAGGACATTTCATCCACTGTATTCACAATTATCCATTAGATAAAAGAAAAGAGTGACTTCATTTGCCTTCTGTAGAAGGTACAAAGAAATTCTTCCATGAGAGGTTTTGTGGGTCAGAGCACAGAGTGAAGCTACTTTCACCGGCCCAAGGAGCCAATGGTGACACGATTACAACGCCCACCTCAGCATTCAAGCCCACAACTTTCTAAACAGGGACACAGATCCCTAATCCCCGAGACACACCTCACCCTCATTATTTAAACTAATAATAAGAACATAAGAAATTTACAAACGAGAGGAGGCCATTCGGCCCATCAAGCTCGTTTGGGAAGAACTTAACTAATAGCTCAGAGTTGTTAAAATCTTATCTAGCTCTGATTTAAAGGAACCCAGGGTTTTAGCTTCCGCTACACTAGCAGGAAGACTATTCCATACTCTAACTACACGCTGTGTAAAGAAGTGTTTTCTCAAATTCAGTTTAAAATGTTCTCCCACTAATTTCCACCTATGGCCACGAGTTCTAGTATTTAAACTAATATTAAAGTAGCCATTTGGCTGAACAGCATCCAGACCTGTTAGAATCTTATATACCTGGATCATGTCCCCCCTTAATCTCCTTTGTGTGAGGTTGAACAGATTCAGCTCAGCTAACGTCTCCTTATAAGACATTCCTCTAAGACCAGGAATCATTCTTCTAGCCCTACATTGAACCTTTTCCAAGGCATTTATCCTGCCAGCCTTCATTTAAGAACAAGCAGTGTTTCCGAGACGAAGGTGTGAATGATGTCACATCCTCATCCAGCTGGCGGGACATCCTAACCCAACGGCAGACCAACCTGTCTCATCCTTCTCGTTCACTTCAAAGCAGCACCAGTAGTCCTTGTCGCGGACGGAGATTTTCCGCCGGTCCAGTATCTCAAAGGTCAGCTCTGCCGCTATCATGGTGGCCGGGATCTCAAAAAAGCCAACCGGGAAGCCGGGTGAGAGCCAGAGCCACAGCCGCAGCAAACACCATCACACACAAATGGCTGACTGATCATTTACAAATCCTGTAAACTGTAAAGTGCCCAGTGCCAGAAAGGTTATTTCATGCAGTGTAAGGTCATAAATAAATAACGGTACATATTATGAGGCCTGCATGGAGACTTACTGAGGTCTGATGTGATTAAACTGTCACAACATTAAACATAATTTGTATCAAAGGACAACAGGCCTACAGGCAAATAACTCACAATAACTTGAGGATTAAAATCATCATATTACTGTCTCTCTAAGATATATGCTGTTGTGAAAGTACATAAAACCAACAAACACAAAAAAATGTAAGTGCAGTGAGGCACAGCGAAACACAACCAGCTACACGACACTGCCACCAACAGGACAAAGATGGAACAGCAGGATAAAACTTACCTTCACATGCTGCTCTGCTGTCTCCTTCTTCTCCTCCAGGTACACTGTGCAGATGAAGTCCCCAGAGCCAGAGGGCTGCAGGCAGGGCAATCAGTTACAGCCAATCAGAACACAGAATACCCACAATCCTCCAGAAGGCGTGTGTGATGCTTCACTCACCGGGACCTTGGCGTTCAGGTTCTCTCGCACCTTGATGATGACCGTGATCTCATCCAGCTGTTTCTGTAGCTGCTGCTCATTCACCTGCAGATGACCGAGGGAGAGGGCAATGCAGCAGTGCATGCTGGGATTTCGAAACATTAGCTAGGCAACCATTTCAGGGGGCTCACATTAAAGACGGTCACGTAGTGTTCGATCAGCTCCTCGACGACGCGGCCGGCGTTGTAGTCCTTCCCGTCTGTCTGGAAGAGCGTGGGGCCAAAGACGATGGCCAAGTTGTGAAGGTTCATCTGGTTCATGTCCGCAAAGCACTGGATGCTGTGAGAGAAGAAAACAAACCTACAACTGAGTGGCCGCAAGGAGCCGTTAATGTGAGAGTAACGAGGAACAGCTCTTACAACTTCAGAGTGAAGCCCTTCTGCATGAAATCAGCCAATTAATCACCCCAAAGGTTAATCCCAACCAAGAATGTGATGACATCTGGGGAGGAATGTGGAGGAAGAAGGTGAGATCAGCTTTGGTGGGGGGAGAACATGGGAGTGGAGATGGAGGAGAAAAATATGAGCGGGAATATGCAGAGGTCCAGAGGGAGAGGATGAGTGAAGGCCTTCTTCTCCTGAAGGACACGGAGCATCTCACCAGTAGAGGTGGTTGACTAGGGCCCGCAGGGTAGCCTTATTGACTCTGGGCAGGTTGCCAAGGAGGAACTGGTACTGGCTGATCTTCTGGGTCTCATCAGTGAGGCCTGTTGGGGCCCAGCAGGGGGACAAAAGAGGAATCATTCTCAGGTGCGGTTTCTGTGTCGAGATCTTAGGTTAGGGAAGTAGAGAGCGTTGTCTGCAAGAGTAGCTGGTGAGTGTAGCTGGTGAGTGTAGCTGGTGAGCTTAGCGTTGAGTATAGCGGGGAGCATGAGAATAGGCGGGAAAAAAGCCAGACCAGCAAATCATCTCTCAGTACCTGTGGTGCTGAGCCAGTCCTGCGAAGCCTCGCTGGTGAAAATGCCGCCCTCCACATCCCGGAAGAACCTCTTCAGCACGTTGGACACATCGTCCACTTGATGCTCCCCCTCCTTTAGCCGCACGCTGCGCGCGTCTCGCCGGAAGGACTCCAGCAGGGCGGCGATCTTGGAGTTCACGCCACTCTTGCGGTAGATGCCCTCGGAGGTAAGGCCTTGAGACGAGGGCACCGAAACGTCAGTTGGGGGGTGGAAGGGGGGAACAGTGTCACGCAAAGGCGTGATACACACCTTTATGCCACAGTTAGTTACAGTGTAGCAATTTTTCAAACACGACACTTTTATACATCACAGTTGGGTGAGAAAAGGAGAGTTTTACAATTTAATATTACTGATAAATCGTTTGATTTTACTTCCAAACATGTAAATTTCATGACTTCCTCAGGCGCGTGCAGGACTGGCGGGACCTGAGTACTTGCTCTTGAATGATTGAAAATAACCTCCTTTCATGTTCCAAGTGCCTTTTTCAATAATCAGCAATCATGCAAAATCTTCACAAAAATTTACAGAGGGAGATCCCCCCCCACTTCCTCGATCACGTAAATTTACAGAGAGGAACTGGCAAAAAGTACTGGTCAACTATGCCCCCCGTTTGAGCACCTGCCCCTCAAAAAGTATCTACACGTCAAAACTTGTGAACTTGTTTTTCCCAACCCAGGCAGTCAGGATGCGATGCCAACGCGTGATTCTCAGATTGAACAGAGTTGGCTTATTACTAGAAAATTGTTTGATTGGGCACTGGATGCCGGGAGCTCAGCAGGCCATTCTGTCAGGCCGAGGTCACACAATAGGTCACATGAGTCCGCGGGAAAGGGGAGGTGGGGGGCGGGGGGGCGGGGGGTAAATCAGTATGGTGTGATTAGACCTTAAGGCATATTCCCCTCAGCTATGATGCCCGTCAGCTCTTTGCTAAAATGGTGACAGCACATGTCTCTGAACCTGATACAGTACTTATGAAATACCTAAACCAGCCGTCACTTGGACAGGGTTTGATTCCTTCGCCTCCCCTGTGCTCACACTCACCGCACTGGGTGATGTAGTCAACGCATCGGTCCACGATGACTGGGATGTCTGACTCGGTCAGCTGCTGCTGGCACAGCGTGTCCCCGGAGCTCCTGGCTGCCTGCTGGATTGCGGCTGACCAGCCCAGAAAGTCCAGCTTCCGCTCACCCTCGATGTACAGCGTCCTACCGGGAGAAGGGCAGGATGGATCTCACCACCGCTGGTCACATCACAGCTGGTCACATCACCACTGGCCACATCACCGCTGGTCACATCACGGCTTGAAACATCCCTAAGTGCTTCGTTCACCCCCCCAGCTAAAAATGACTACCCCCACCATGAGTTTCTCATCCCACAGCACTTCAATCTTAACATACCACACAGTTACACCAACCTCATCCCTCGTTACTGTCAAATCTCTCACCATCTTACAATTACCCAGAATCCTTTATTCTACAACGACATCTCTCAGGGTCATTTGGTAACTATTCATTATCCTTTATCCCACCACATTCGTCATCACCTGGTAATTAGAGCTGCTTAACAGACCTCCCTGGCCTTAAATCACCAATCGTTGTATTTCTGGAAATATCTAAGATGGTGCTGGTCACATGAACATAAAAAAAGAATCTCACCTTCCTCTTTCCACCAAAACGAGTACCTCATTCTCCTGCTGGATAGCTGTGAGAGGAGAAAACAAACACCGTTACTCGATTTTTCTAACATTAACATCCGTGGACGCAGCAGGTCTGGCAGACCTCATCGACCGGCCAAAACACGCTGGCTTACCGTTGTGTCCAGAGTGCCTAGAGCGATGACATGAACAATCTGCTTTTCAATATTGTGTTAGGCTGCACTTTTACTTCACTTCACATTTGGTAAGAAGGAAAGAATACTTCCGGGAAAGAAGGGAGACAAAGAGAGAAGAGGAGAGACCTACATCTCCTGGATCGAATAAGCTTTACAGATCTGGAAAAAATTAAGAGACCACAGCGCGATTTTCTACTTCACTAATTTCTCAATTTATGGGTGGATGCCTGTGAATAATGTTTTTTTTGCAAACTGCAGCCTGGTTCTTCTCTGTTTCTCATTAATGAAGGGCTTCTTCCTGGCTTTATGGATCTGCGGTCCTGCTTCTAAAAGCCTGATATGAACTGTCCTAGCAGTGCACTTCACACCTTAATGTTTCCTTTTGAAGGTCACTTGAGGTCATCCTCCGATTTATGTGGCACTACCAGATAAGTGGATGATAAGTTGCTTCTTCCTTCTTACCGGACTGGTTTTAGGTTATTGCCAGTGTCTCAAGTTTCACCTTGTTCTGCTGTCCTGCTGTCTTACAAACTGGACAGAACCTGCCATGTAGCTTTCTGCCAGCAGAACCAGGATCGAACCCAGATTAAAAATTTTAATTTTATATATATATATATATATGGAGTGGTTCTTACTTTTTCCCAGAGCTGTATGCCAGTGGAGACTCTCATTAGCAGTCACCCATCAGCCCACAAACTCCAGCCACTCAACCCCCCCCCCCCCCCCCCCGAGCCCCACACTCACAGAGCTCCTGTAGCTTGCGCAGGTGAATGACCTCCTCCCCCCCACTGTCTTCAAAGCAGGTATGCAGCATGGAGCCCACCAGGGCGAAGCAGCCCACCCTGGAGCTCTGCAGGTTCAGGCCGTCCTTGTATTTCAGTCTGCCGATCCGCTCAAAGTCTCGGTTCAACAGGTCTTCTGCGGAGGCTGGGATGAAGGACTTTTGGAGACGAGGGTCCACACAGGAAGGGGACAATTATCACAAAGTACTACAGCTGAGTACAGCAAGACCTGCTTCAATGCAAACTTCTTTATGATACAAGACCACCACCGAAACAACTGGTGTAAGGATGAGGAGCAAGGAGACGTGGTCTTACGCAAACAATGGTTTGACAGACGAGGACCCAAAAGGCAAAGAGCAGGAGCATGTTTCTGATTTCATCACATTTCATTCATGTTGAGTAACAGCATCCAGGACATTAAGCAAGAGTGCCAGCCGCTGTGGGCGAAGCTACCTTGGTGATGGACTTCACCCACTCCTTCACGCTCTCCTGGCTGTCCGCACCGAACAGATAGAGCCGCTCCGAGTCGGAGTAGATCTCAAATGTGTAGTCATACCTTAAACAAGATAATGAGGAGAACATCTTGAGTCAGGAACGAGAACCTTTCAGAAAAAAAACAGAGGGATCTCTTTGAGATCTGGGGATGTCCGTACCCGTGTCTTTCTGGAGGGTTCACCGCAAGACAGACGATCTCCTTCATCTTCAGCCCTCCATTGGGGGTGGCGTTCTTATCGCTTTCGTAGTAGTGGAAATTTCCATCGTTTAACGTGCACCAGCGCCGGCTGAACTCTGGGAGAGAAGGTCACAGATCATAGACTCCGCTTCACAGTGGAATCCACAGAGAGCACACTAGGGTGGATCTCTTTCCTGGAAGCCTCACCTTCTTTGGACTTCCGCTCTGTGATTGGACGTGCCATTGAGGCAGTCTTGAAGAGGAACCCATTGTGCGTGATGGAAGGAGGGGCCATGTAATGCACTGTGTCCATGGGACCTCCAACTTCCGACCTGGGGACCTCTGTGAGGTCAGGGACAGGTCAGTCACACCCCACCAATCATTTAGCTTTTGTGCAAACCCGAAGAGGCATCGTCTCAGCCACCTACCCGTATTCCGGTTCTGGCTCAGTAATTCCACCTGCAGTTTCTGGTTGAAGCTCTGGGCCAGGCTAATGGTAGTAGGAAACTCAGGATTGCCTGTGTCACAGTTCACACTGGCTCCACAGAAGACCAGTGAGAGGGTCTCCAGAACGTCGTCGGACTGCACGTTGATGCACAGAGCCTGGCGGTGAAGAGCAGGCACATCCTGAAGTGGATGCTTCTCACGTTTCGCTGAAGATACAGATTTACCCGGCATTCATAGTACATGGTACACGCCCAGTAACTCCCTGTTAGTCAAAATATGGGAAAAATTGTGTGGAAAAACATTTCACATACACTGATAGTCAGGCCCATCGAGGAGGACAACTGGGGAAGGACAGAAGGCCTAGTGGGTGGAGTCATGGGCCGGGGAATTATGCATGGCCCCAACAATAGTAAATGAATCACTTTCCGCTTCTAGATTTGTTCAGGTGACTTTATCCAAAACGCAGTGCTAAGATGCCTCCATAACTGAAGCTAATCTCTGATAACAGCTTCCCTCCATCCCACGAGTATCTAATCAGTGACGCACACAAGCTCATGTCTGACTTCCCCTCAGTCTGTGAGTGCCTCTCTCAGATGACGCACTAATTACAGGCCAAACGGATTACGGCACGATCACAATAAATAGCCGCTTCTTATGCTCAGCTCACACACGGCTGAGGACCCACTGTCTTCACTCTACCGCACACGCACCCGTTACGACACCACAAGGCAATCAGATGGCAAAGAAGTTCAATTACGCACCTTGAACTTATGGGCAGATCGGGCAGGGGAGCGACTACAAGACTAGCCCGTATATTAACTGACGCCAAGATTAGCCCATAAACTCTCGCACTCAGCAATAGTTATGCAACAAATCCCAGGAGGCCGTAAGTTCGAATCCCAGAAGGAATTCCTTATCCAGGCTTGCATATTAAAAAAGCTCCCGTCCATTACATCATTTGAGCAAAAGGCCTTTTCCAGAGCAGGGAAAACATCATGAAAGTTTACTGCCAGCAGCGAACTTAAATGCCTCACATCCCAATGGAGTCGATACGGCAAACTTCCAATAAAAAACTTTTACTGGGCAAATACCCACAATAAGAGCCAAGATCACAGCCAAGAGTGAACGTGCTGATTTATTCAAACTGGCCACCGAACGTCCCCTCCTAGCGCAAGCCACAACACCAATGTGGACATGTGTCACGAGGCTGTGAATGAATGAGCGCTTGTTGAGCCATCAGATTCCAGAAAAGGGTGGGAACAGTCGACACAGAAGATTCACTCGGCTCCCAGTGAAACCATCACGCTCAGGGGAGTTGGCCTTTCACCCTGAGATGGTTCTTCGCCTCCGACCACAGGAGTTGTTGTTTATTCTCTCTCTTTTGAACTAAATTTGACACCGTCGTGTCACCAACAGGGAGAGGAGAGCGGTGCAAAAATAAGCCAGAGCCGAGGTAAGAGTTTGTCCAGCTGCGAGTCTGTGTGGCTGGGAAAGCAGGGGGGGGGGGCAGCCGCGAGGGGCACTGCCAGGAGATTCGGCTCAGCAAAACATGTGCTGCTGCAGGATCATAGAGCCCAGGCTGGTAACAAATGCTGCCCTCAACAGTAACTCATGCGACACCAGAAGGAGGTGAGAAAAAAAGCTGCACATTGAGGGGAGAAAAGGAGGAGCTGCTTAACGGGGTTTGGAGCCAAACTCGACTCGCGACGGGCGCGGCCTGAAAATCCAGACGCCAGGAGGATTCGTCTGCGCTGAGCGACACGCGCCAACTGTAGCATTCCCACGGGCTTCGGGACAGATGCGGTCAGTACACCCAGAGGCGACGCTGTCTTCACCCAGAAACCTCTGGAAAAGCAATCATCAGGCTCTGGGATGACCTCACTCAGACACATTAAACCCGGGGCCAGTTTGCAGCCCTGTTTCGAAAGCAGGACAGCAGGACACATTCCCGGAGTCCTCTGAGGGTTAATGATAGCCGGAAGCACGAGTGAGATCCAGCTCTGTCCTGCACCTTTCACACTCACAAAGACACTGGCAACCGGACCCTGCTAATCGCACGAGAAATATCATCTTACCGTATCATTTTTCTCCTTTGCACAAATATACTGAGGCTTTTACTCACCACTGTTACCATAACAGAAACCAGCACATACTTAAAAAGTAGCATCCAAAACTTTAACCAGTACAAAGTTTCCTCGCATCCTGTTTCCAAGGAAGCATAGCATAGCAAGCCTAAAGATCGGTATGTTCAATCTGACAAAAAACACTGCTGGCAATAAAGCTAAATGCTTGTACAATAAATGATGAACAATGTAATAAAGTAAAAGGGACAGCTACCTTTCAAGAGGAACAGGTGACGGACACTGAGCAGGTTTCCCGGGAAAAAAGGTGAGATTTCATTTATTCCAGTGCAGAACAGTAAAAACTGGCTTTCTCACAGAGACACACTGCATACAGACGGGGGTGTGGGCCACTCTGTGCTTGAGAGGCCAGAACTCACCTCCCCCATGGGTGTGTAGACACACACGCCTACACACACATGCATACACACACACGCATACACACACATACACACACACACACGCCTACACACACACGCATACACACACATACACACACACACACACTCATACACACACACACACACTCATACACACACACACACACTCATAGCCAACCAAGCATTTATCCTGTTACACTGACAATCATGAACATACCAGAAGCATTTTTGAGGATCTGTCCAAACCCCAAACCTCACACACTCCCTGTCACACAAACACACACACACAAACACACACACACACACACACACACACACACACACACACACACACAGTCCATCAGCGAGACAGGAGCAATCGACTCACAGTCCACCAGAGTCTCCTGGGAGCAGACCCACTGTCGGCACGTCCTGGGACCGTCCCGCACGCGGAGCCACACAGCGACAACCTGGAGCCACGACTGCAGAGCGAGAGGCTCCACTGCAGCCCCCGCACAGCCAAACCCAAACAATGGGGGAGGGGGCGGGGAGGCGGCCCAACAGCACATTCCTGAACTGAGCTGGTGATGTCAGAGGGGGCGGGAGGAGGGGGCGGGAGAGGCGGAGCCTGCCCCAGCTGGGAAAACAAACCAGCGTGCAGACGGGGGTGCGGAGGCGGGGGCACATTTGTCTTTCCATGGGGGCTCAGGGAAGCACTTCCCAGCAAGATCTTCCTGGTGACGGGAATGAAGGATGTCCAAGGAGCAGACTGGCCCGACACGGGGGCGGAGCCCCAGAACAAAGGCCACATTTAGCCCAGATCAGGCAGATGATGGTCTGTTTTTTTTTTTTTTTTAAAGATACAGGCCTACTCTTCATTTCACAATTTGTGACATTTAATTTCTTCCTGTAGCCTTTAAACTAACAACCCCCCGCCCCCAACACCTTCACAGATTAAAGATGATTAAAGTGATCTTTATCAGACTTATGCAACAGACTGGTACTTAAGTAATGATCAGAAACTTAACAGTAACAGAGAAAGTCAGCAATCAAACCCTGGAAAAATTATGAAAATATAAAGATTATTTTTACTGATCCTACAGGAAAGTTCTGGTGCATAAAGAAGCGAAGGCGGCAAAGTGCAGACAAGGCAACAGGCAGCACAAAACAAGACTGAGTGCAAAGACAAGCAAACGTAGTGCAAATAAATCAAAAAGTACACAGTACACAAATAGAGTATCCTAAGGAAGAATATCCAGAATATAAGGAACAGAGGAATATTTAATACCAATAAAAAAAAACTTTACCAAATATCCAACATTATTCACCAGGAAAACTTTTTTAAATCTCGAAATTCAATCTGTCCCAATTGGGTACTTTCCTCAAAAGCAAGTGTATAAGCAAAAATTACAAGACAAATACTGAGCGTGAAACCATATAAACGAAAAAGAGCTGAAAAGTTCTGCTGTTCTGGCTGGCAAACGGTTACAAAAACACTGTTAAGCTGAACTGGCAGAAAAATACGCTTTATTTCCATCAGAGCCGCAGGGAATCTCGGGCCCCACAGTTCCGGCCAAAGTGGGCCAAAGCGGGTCAACCGGGGGCAGAACCAGCGGAGCCAAACGTAGCTCTAGGATGCGGACGCAGATTCTGAGTCGTGCCGTGCGAGATTTCCTCAGGTTCCAGCAAAGCCACGCAGATTCATGTTTGCGCTAGCTCAGCACCGAATTCTGAAAAGCTCGGTCAGGGGTCATCCAGAGTCCGGCCCAGCCTGTGCCGGCCCGCTGCCCGGCAGCCCAGAACAAAACAAAACGGGACAAAGCGAGGAATGAAAGGTCCCACGGACTGGGTCCAGCATTCTGGAGGCCGCCTCCCCCCCCCCAGTGCAGTCGCCCGGCAGCTCCGAGCCAGATATTCTGCCATCAGAAGGGCATCTCCCTCCACCAGCAAAGCAACCACAGAGCCAAGCACTCACCTATGGGATTCTGCCGTATCTCACACACTGGGAGGTACAGACAGAGGGTCGGGTTCCTAACCACAGGAGGGTCCTCAGGTCACATCAGCAGACAACAACGAGCACAAGAGCACCGACACGGCTGTGAGCCGCTCCGACGAAGGAGGGAAGTAAATAACAGTACAGAGTTCAAGAACCCCTACAGCCACCTGCCTCTCGCTCTGCTCAGACCACTCCCAGCATGGCTGCAGCCGCCCCGTCTCTCACAGGAAGCCTCCGGCAGGTTTGAGTGGCCACAGCGTGAGAGCTGCAAGGTGGCCCAGCCGTACAGGCAAAAAAAAAAACACACCCATGCGCAAACACATGACCCCTCTCAGGTGGTGAGAGCTCGTCGAGTAGGAGGAAACCTTGACAGACTTCTACACCCGTGTATTGGTTTGTCTTGTTCCAGCTACGTGTGGGTGGTCACCTTGCCGAACACAGCTTTCCGGAATGACACCTGTTCAGGGGTAGCACTGATCATCTGAACATCGGGCCAGTCGGACCAATCGAGGCAGCTGCCAGTTCCTCACAAATTCGGTAACACCGTGAAATGAACACAAACCCGGCAGCAGCCACGGTCCCTCAGAAGACCTCCCTCCGACGGTCCCTCAGAAGACCTCCCTCCCACGGTCCCTCAGAAGACCTCCCTCCGACGGTCCCTCAGAAGACCTCCCTCCGACGGTCCCTCAGAAGACCTCCCTCCGACGGTCCCTCAGAAGACCTCCCTCCGACCAAACTTACATTGTCCAGCTCCTGCTGGTTGCCGAAGAGCTGGTGGTACCGGCGGTATTTGCCTTCGCGGTACTTGGCGGCAATGAAGCGCCGGCGGTCGTCTGAGCAGCTTGCCGGCACCAGGTCCTCGCTGGGAGGCACGTTGGCTGCCCAGAAGAGGTTCGCTCGCTCATTGCCAAGGACCCTGAACAGCTACAGGCGGGTGGACAGTGGCGACACAAGCCTCAGACACATCCTCAGTGTGTGCAGATATGAGTTAACCTCGTGGGAAAGTCCCCAGAACAATTTGCTTAATAATCAATAATTGCTAAAAAAAAAAAAACCCTTTCCTAAGTGAACCAAATTCCTCTTTGATGGTCATGTGACCTCTCCATTGTTCATTGTTTATATTTCCATTTTTCCTTGTAGCTTTTAGCGCGCACCACAAACACCGATAAACAGTCTTTCATGTTTTCCTGCACCAATCAAAGTGCAGAGAGAGAGAGACGTAAGTGTGTGTTAAGGTTGATGTCTCATACTGTACCTGAATGAGTTCCTCAGTCCAGACCTTTTTGTCCATTTTCAGACTCCGTACTTTAGAGATACTAGGCCCAAGGCCCCGGTGCTCCCCTGGGAGAAGTAGTCCAAAATGAGGTAAGAACTGTACTGTCAGTCTTAGTCAGCCAGACTGCTGCATCACAATACAGAGGAACTAAAGGTTTGGGTAAATGCATTAGGCAGGCGACATAATTAAGGAAGTAGGAGTACGGCCAACAGCAGAGCCATAAAAACATAAAATTTCTGCATTCAGCTCTGTATGGTAAAACTGAAAAATGAAAGTGTGCTACAGAAATAAGTACTAACTCCAAGTATGTTCTGGAATGAACCGTAGTGGGCGAGAGTCTGGGCTACTCACCTGCACAGCGCTTACAGAACACGACACACAGGTTGATGGCAGCCCACTCAGGCATGGTCGCCCTGCAGTCGGCACAGAACCTGTTGGACTCCTCAGACCAGATCTTCTTGGCCACTTCATAGTTGGACAGGGCTTCTGCCACAGACTCCCTCATGGCTTCCACCCACTGCTCCTTCAGCTGGTCTGACTCAGCTGCAAAGCTGTAACAACATATGGATGGTCACTGAAATTCAGCCTCAACTTCCTGTATGACACCTAATACAAGAACGTACAAATAAGCTTGCATGTGAAATGGTTTGCATGCTGTCGTTTCTAACCACAGAAGTATATCAATGTTTCCCCAGTGGCCCTAGGATAACGCCTTGCAGAAGCTTCACCTGAAGATGCGGTACGGGGTGATGAGGTCAAAGGACCTCCGGTCGGTGTCCTTCACGTTGCCGACGTTCATCTCAATCGATGTGATCCCAATGCCCAATTTGTAATCCTGGCCCCAGAGAGAAAAGAGTAGATGTTAGGGGAGAGCAGCAACGTGCCCACAGGACGAGGTGATGACTCCACTGCTGCACAGAGGTTCTCTCACACACGCAGAAAACATTTGACAAACAACCCCGTGATGGTCAACAGCTGCTATCATGGGTTCTCATAAACGGGAGTCCGACTCTGCTTCATGAAGGACAAGTTGATTCAGAAGAAGTAGTAACCACAACAAGCCCCATTTTATACCATGGCTTTGATTGGTCTGCAAGCCAGGAACATGGCTGTGAGAATCAAATAGTATCTACAGGACTGTCTGGCTGAACGCTACTCATATACATGCGTCAAAACTGCCGCTCACCTCCAGGTTTTTATACAGGAAGACTTTGTCACCAGACACCACCACATAGAGCTTAGAGCGCAGCCCCCTCAGCTCTAGGTAGCCCTGCATCTCGGGTGTGGGTGGTACGGAGGAGGGGCCCAGCGAATGGGCGCCTACGTCTCCGCTGCTGCGATGATCGCCCACGGCATCCTGAATGACTGACACCCACTCGCTCCTCTCCACTGGAAGACAGGCATCGGTGGGGTGGGTAACAGTCATGACAGGTGAACCTCTGACCATAGAGCTCAGTCTTACTGAACATGCTCATGTGAATATGCTCACAGGATCTTCTCAGTCTTACTGAACATGCTCATGTGAATATGCTCACAGGATCTTCTCAGTCTTACTGAACATGCTCATGTGAATATGCTCACAGGATCTTACTCAGTCTTACTGAACATCCTTATGTGAATATGCTCACAGGATCTTAACTAGCTTGGTACCCATTAAGGTTACAAAATTCTGGTAATTTTCCCATTAATTCCCAAATAAATCCATGGAAACTTGGAATATTTCCAAAATTCCCCAGAATAACTTCCCATGGCAGATTAAAGGCTAAGCCACCATTGTTAACCTGTTAAATTTTTTACTTAATATAATTATCTTGTTGACATGTATTTTTTTATTTTGGTTATTAAGAGTGCAGATGATGTGGCATACACAGGTGACACTATACACAAACAAATACATAAATAACCACTCTGTACAAGGGTACCAGGTGCTTTCCAACTTGAGAGGCCTAAGGACTTACAGTCGCTTTCAGCTCGAAAGGCGAATGTCCGGTTGTGGGTCACAACCTCAAACTTCTGCTCGCCCACATTGGATATGCTGGTGATGGACGATGTTGGTATGATCCTCTTGGAGTAGATGTCCTGAAAGAGCCAGCAAATCTTTGATCTTCTGCCCCTGACTCCAATGTTTAGCCCTACCTCCAACACTGATCTTAAAATCTTATAAAAAACTCATTTATCTAAGGACCTTTGGACCATGGAAAGTCTAACCTGCTATGGTCCTCAATTCCAGGTAATTAAATCATGAGAACAAGCCAAGAGAATGAAACACACCTTCTCACTGTCAAAGTATCTCAGATAGTCTGCGTCAAGCTTCACCCAGCGTCGCTGGTAGATCAGGGACCTGGGGGGTGGGGGCGGTCAGGTTAAAAAAAGCGAGATAAGAGGGTGCTGGACTGAGCCTCACTTGTCATTACAAAGGCGGCGTTTGTGCAAACAACAGTGTTAAAATTAATGACACGAATGGGGTTTTTTTTGTAGCATTTACAGGGCCTGGACATCTTGCTACATGGTGTGAGCACAGCCCATATCAGCGTGGCGGAATCGCACAGATGAGGTTTAGCGACTAAGAGAGCTGATCGTACCAAACATTCTGGTCCAGAACGTCCCCCAAGATCACTGGCATTGTGACACTCTGGCAAGTGCAAACCTCCATCACCACGCATTGGTTTAAAACTGCCCCATTTTGTTGTGGTACACACTCATTAAGGGGGGGGGGGGTGACTTACCCCTGGGGTGGGTTCTTGTCCAGCCAGCCCTGCCTAATGACAGGGGAGAGTGGAGGGGAGGGGTCCTCTTTGCGGGCACTGGGGGTGATGCGGCCGAGGGAGGGCAGGTACACGCTGTCCTGGAGCGTGCTCAGGCCATAGTCCTTCCAAGAATGCCTCCTGCTGGCAGGGTGGAGGAATTGCAGGTTCATTCATTCATTTATATGCAAACATATAAGACAAAATTTTGTACGCCTGACAACGAGTGAGAGTAATGCGGGCGGAACTGTGTGGGAACTTTACCTGAACGAGACGATGGTCACCAGAGATCCTCGCTGCTCGAAGCCCAGCCGTGGGCATCCCTAGACTACCGCGATTATTACTTGGTGACCATTTTGCTTAACACGCCGATCGTTGTAACAGAACTCAGTCGCTAAACGAGGGTGTGGTGATCAGCCAAATGATTTCAGATCTTGTAAATCTTGTGGCTACAATTTCAATTATTTAAGCACAGCACCACCTACTGCCCAGAGGAGGCGTGACGGCAGTCGGAAATGCCGGCATGCGATACAGAAAATACTGATGTCCGCTCACACTCTGTTTGCGGGGTCGGATGCAGCCTCTCCGTCGTCATCCAGGATCTCATCGTCACTGTACAGGCTGCTCAGGCGCCGGTGCTCCAGCTTCGGCACGACCAGGAATTCGTCCTGGTGGATACAAATCAGACCGAAGACTCACCACGGCACCACAGCCTATTCCGCATGATCTGCCATTTGCTTTCTTAGTCAAATGAGCAGAGAGGTATAATACTGAGTCCAGGGGGCGGGAAAACTTGTATATCTGCTCATGTTTTAACTTGTTAGAATGTCAGCAAATGACATTAATCACCGCCAGACTGTGTAGAGAACAGATGTGATCATTGACTGGATTTGTTTTTCATTTATAAGTACAGCATTGGTTAAAAATCCACAAAATTTAGCCCTCCCCCCCGCCCCCGTCCCCCCAAACACACTCACACACACACACACACACACACACACCTTCTCTGCCATTTTTGCAGGCTCAATCACTTGGGTTTGAAATACATCCAAATCCTCATAATCTTCAGAGCTGCTGATGGAGACGGATCCTGACAAAGAGGAATGAATCGTCACACAAAAATAAATAAACGTGACCAATCACACACTTCCATGTGCCCACAGAAGCCCCGACACGCGGAACGGACAATAAATCAAGTGCCTGGCTATCACAGGAGACTTGAGTAAATGAGTAAGTGCATTAACAGGAAATGGGCAAGAAGGAGGATACAGATCGGAATACTCTCACAGAACTGGTTACGCAAGGAAACTGCGTTTCCACATGCATATTTTAATACTGCCATCATTGCATTTTCTTTTGGTCAAAATGTACAAGTTACAAATCATGAATTATTCCATTAGCGTTGTTAACAGGAAGTTGAACAACAGTTCACAATGACATCGGGCAATGCAGGGCTTTGGAAAGGGTACTCACTGGGTTTGGGGGGCTTCTGCTGGAGCCTGCGCTTCGGTACGGGCGGCTGGGCCGGGGCCTGACTGGGAGGCCCGATCCGGGGTGGAATATCTGGAACCCTGTCAGACTCCGGAGTGTCGTCCACCAGAGGCGCACTGTCAGCAGGGCGGGAATAAGGAATCTTTTTTGACACATGAAAAATCTCACCAATTCACCCAATCACACTGCCCGTCAGGCCGGTGGAATTTGACAGGAAAAGAATGTACATTTTCTAATGGTTTGTGACTCATGTCCTTGAAGCTAAACCAACCGACCGTCTTCAATGACAAACTGGCTGGTCAATCTTTAAGCAACAACAAAAAAAAAAAAACAGCACAAGGGACAGAAGATGAGGCCATTTACCAGGAATTACCTGCCTTCTGCTGGTTTCACTGAGAAATCTGAAGGGATTTGTAAGTTTCAACACACACCTGCTGTGAACCCGGAACCTGGAAAGATCAGCAGCTCAACATCCAAGAAAAGACCTTGACGGAATACCCAGCAAACCGCACAAGAGCCCAGGCCACCAAAACCCGCAGAGTGTGTGTTTCAGTTTCACAGCATCGGCCTTTGTGAGACGGTCCCCACTCACGTCCCCTTTGTCCCCTTTGTCCCTGCTCTCGTCTTGCTGAGCCCAACAAACACACACAGCAGCTATTTCAGCATCTCGCATAACCGAAATCTGATGCTTGCTTGGCTCACCTTGTGTAGCCAATTCCAGCGACAGCTCTGCGACAGCACAGAGACCTTCAGCGAATAGTAGCTGTCAAGATGGATAAAACTGCTCAACTTTAACTTTCATGAAGTACCTCGTATTTGCCGTATCAGACAGAACCGGATATTCCTGTTTTTATGAATGCACATCACCCAGCTATTACTGCAGAAAAGAGGAATCTAGTTACTGATTTTTCATAACAGATATATTAAATATTTTAATCCTTGCCTGTGAGTGAGTATCCGTTACCTTGACGGAATGCATCTCCGTTCACCTTGTCTGAGTGGGGAGCTCATGCCGGCCCTTTGGTTACCATGGCTCCCGGAATCTGCAGCACCCTCCGGTATCTACTTCCCACCCCCCACAGAGATTCCCGGGATGTTAGAAACAAACAGGGGAAGTGACACTTGAAAGGGGGGGGGGGTCAGCAGGTTAGGCCTCTGTACCTGTGATCAGAAGGTCGCAGGTTCGAATCCCATGCTCGGTAGAATAGTCACATTGCAGTTGGGACCTTAACACCCTGTGGTCAGACCTCAAGCCTTATTCTCACCTCTACGTGTGTATGTCTTTAAAAGAAGAGCATGATGGGATATATGAAAAGCATTCCACTGTACATGGGCTCGGGCCCCCCCCCCTAGTCCATGTCAGGGGGGGCAGTATGAGCTACTTCAGGTTTTACAATCTACTTTAAAACTGAAAGGTCTTTTTGTGCTCTGACTGGTTTGTTTCCTTGGAAGATTCAGCCAACTGTTTCACATTAACATTATAAAACACCAAACACAAAACACCCATCCAATACACCACAGTGTTTTCGTATGTGCAGTATTTAATTTGAGTGCAATTCCACAGTGCTGTACAAATATTTATATTTATATATTTCCACTCTGTACATATATATAGTTTTTATCTTACTGTTTTTAATTTTTGCTGCTCTATTCTTGTACTGTCCACTTTCTGCCGTGACAATGCAAATTTCCCACTTGTGGGACTAATAAAGGATTATCTTATCTTATCTTATCTCATCTCATCTCATCTCATCTTATTAGTGACACATGCATGATTATAGGAGACTGACTACACTGCCCTGTGATACTTATAGCGAAACTGCCCCGAAAACAGCTTCCACCAGCCAGGTTGTGTGTCAGCGAACAGCAAGAACTCAGTGCTAAAGCAAAATCCAAGTCTTTTTAATCGAAATGGTAGCTTACAGACTCTGCCATAGCTCATAGTGTCCCCCGTGACACGGATTAGCTGCTAACCCTAACCTGTGCTTATACTGCAAATGGCAAATGAAGCATCATTTCAGTGGTGAACTGCCAGGACCCGTACAAACCCGCATTAACGCGATGTGCTGAAAGGTCCGGGACAGTCCAGGCAGCATTCCTCAGAAGGCTCTTAGACCGTGCCCTACCGGTCACTCTCACCCCACGTGTCCAGAGAGCAGGGTCCACTTCAGTTGCGGAGTTATTCTTTAGTTCCTCATTTGCTGGCTGTGTATACCTCGTGCCCCTGGGCGAGTGCCCCCGCGTTTCAGGTTGGTGCCCCAGAGAAGCCGGGAACATTGTCATGAGCAGGAAAAGGTAGCTCTGGAGACGCAGCCGCAAGCTAAAATTAGCCTCCTCACATCCGCTCCCAAGCTGCACGTCCTGCCCCAAATTCCCGGTCCGCCGCCTCTTTTCCATCACGGCCACAAATGTACCTCAGTGGTCACTTCGGAGAACTTGGACTCCAGAACTGCAGAGACCAGACTCCCATAAGTCATATAAGCTTTTAAATAAAATAACATAAAACTTATATAAAACATCTCCAGGAACAGGAGGTTGTTTCAGCACATAAACTTCCCATCTGAGACACAACACAAGAGTCCTCTAGGGGGGAAAGGGGCTTCTGCAAAGAAACTAATGGCTATTTGAGTGCTAGTTGTTGCTCATTGATAAAACACAAGATAAAACTATGACATTTTCCACACGTTTCCTCAACTTGTTATTGGCCTTGTGTAAAGAAGTGATGTAAGGCAGGAACAGTGTGGGGCTGGGATGGACTGGTCAGGCACATCTCCACGTCGACTGATCCCCAGCCCTTAGCCAATGAGTCGCTGGGCATAAAGAAACTCAGTCGAACTTCATCAGGCTGCCCCGTTAGTATAAATGACATCAGTTGGGCGACTTTTGGCAGGATGGCTGAACAATGGGAGAGAGATGGGGAAACGAATGTTGCATTGGTACCTTCTGCCAAACACTTCTGCAAGTTCTGCTTTCTTTAAAGTCTTTAAAGTTGGCTGCTTGAATATTACTGCTCTTTTTTTAAAAAGTATCACTGCTCCACTCTCGTGTCAGATCACCGCCCCACAAGACACCAGCGCACGACGGCTTTCGGCAAATATGAAGAAAACACTTTTGACAAGGTGTGCCATTAAGTGTGAAGAGCGTATATAAAAATAAGTCAGGCATGTAGCGTGATGACATTCTCTCCGAGCTGCGACCCTCATCGTCTGACTCGGTCACATGACAACCGTACTTCCTCCTGCCAATCAGACGACTTACACTTGCTTACCATGGCACTTTACTAAACTGCAGCTGTCCTGCTTAGTTTCAAATGCCTGTAACTGAGCAGCCGTACCCAATAGACTGAGGTCCACAGACATGGAACAAGACATGTTCCGTGTTTAACCGTAACAGGGAAGTATCATCAGAATTGAACCGTCCAAGTTAAACGAACAGGTCACAATGACAGGAGAACATCGCTGGTTTAAAGGTCTCCCTCCCTCTCCCAATATGTTTCCCCTTTTCTGGCCATGGTGATCCTTCTGAGAACATCACATATCTGTCATTGTCGTTCCCATAATGCACTGCAGACACAACAAGACCTTGAGGATGATGGAACGCACCTTAGCGAAAGAGGACCTTGGCTGAAAACACCTGACTGTAAGGCGCTTGTCCTAAACCCCCAACAGCAGAAACAATGCAAGGCAGCTAGGAAACCCCTGTCCCATTGTAGCCCAAAAGAAGAGGAACTTAGGACCAGGAACCAAACTCCAAGCCACTGTGCACAACCGGTTTTGGCATTCAGCTAATCTGGCAAAAGCTTACTGATTAAATCAATCACAAATGCATCAGTCCACAGTATCAATCACCCATTTTAATAGCAGAAACCAAAGTGCTGCCTATTCTAGCTTCAGTCCCCACTGTGTCCCCTGGAAAAAGTCAAACGATGTTCCAACACCATGTGAGTTTCAACATTAAATGTTAAACGTCACTCACCTCAGCTTCTCATATTCCCCGACACGATCACAAAGGAACTTCTTTGCCCCTTGCAACACAAACTTTGTCACATCTTTACAAGAAAAAAAATTTAATTCAAGATGGCTTGAAAAAGTTCAGAGCTCACCTGTTGAGAGTCGCCCAGCAGGCCCATTATCAGCGGAGACAAAGAGGGCAGCTTCTGCGGTTAAGGTACGGGGGTGAGGGGCAGCTCTCCCGCAGGATGAGCGCTGCTGGCTGCCCAGCTATACGCCACACAGAGAGGAAGCTAAGAGCATTTTTAGAAACGTATCTGCTAAGCTCTGCACCTCGAGGGGAAACTTCCTGTATTTTGTATTTTGGCCTGCTCTCTCTCTCTCTCTCTCTCTCTCTCAATACTACTCTCCCAAAATACAATACGAGTGTACTGACAAAGGGCTGTCCTTCCACCGCCCCCCCCCCACCCGCCCCCCACCTTCCCTCAATTAACTGCTGATAGCATAAATCTGAGTTATAAGGAACGTGCAGATTTTTTCTGAATCGGCTGAAACGGGTTAAAACCCCAAAAACAGGAAGAGTCCATTCCTTGTGGTTGTTTCACCTCCAGATTCTACAGGGAAGCTGCTGCTTCATATCAAGCTGAAGAACCGTTAAGACACTCGGAAGGCTGGAGCGTGATTCAGCGTGAGCCAGAGCAGTGCACCATGGGTAATCTCAGCATCTTTTTGCATTTGCACAAAAGAGGAAGAGCACAGCTTCACCAAGAGAGCTGCAGTTTCCACATGCAAAGGGAATTCCTTTCATTTTCCAAAAATTAAAAAAAAGTGTAAAAGCCTTGCAAAGAGAGACGGACATTAACTCGCCGCCTCAAACTCAAGAAAAGCGAAAGTTCACTGAACATTTTACTCAACACAAGAAGAGGAAGCACTTTTTTGTTTGGATGCCAACACTGACACCTACAGTCAGGTCTGCAGTCTGTCACCTTTTTATCAAAATAATAGCTCATTCATGCTACTGCTTATTTTCACTTAACTCTGACTGTCACCAGTTCGCACTGCATTGCCCCTGCAGGCTTGTTTTGTAATACCCAGTATGCCCTCACTGGGTGTGTGATACGTATAGCGAAACTGTACCAAAGACAGCATCCACCCACCAGCTTGTGTACCAGTAAAACTGTCTATTCTATTCTATTGAGATACCAATGAGCAAACAGCATACTGACTGCTAATACACTGGATTAATATACATTAATCTACTTGCTGCATCTACTCATTTTGATGAATAAAACTTTACCAAGGATTGTTCGATATTAAAATGAACACTTGCTAAGCTAGTTTATGTTTTAATTGGGTTTCTTCACATTTAATTGCTAATGCATTTAGTTTTACCCACAGTTCCACACAAGGGCATATTTTAATTAAATATTATAATGTTAAAGGTCATTAAAAGATTTTATTTTCATTTCACAAATGCTTATTGTGTATTCATTGTTGTATCAATTAGACGCTTATATGTAAATTTTGAAACTTAAATGCAAAATAAAAATATAAAACATACACATTAAAAAATTACTTTAATTAATTTTTTTTTTTCTGCTGTGTGCTATGGGGTGAAACCATCACCGTCTCATTTTACCACCAGCCGTAAAAACACAAATATATCCACTCCCTTTTGGGTCAGCATTCCCTATTTTCTACATTTTTTCACCAGATTTGACCGATCGACTGGGAGGAGCGTCGGCCTGATTTCTGAGCACATTCTGCAAGTTGCGTCATGACTTTAACACATCCTGCAAATGTGAGGCCAACTCGGAAAGTCACTGTCACAATTCTGGTGATTAAATGCCAGCAAACAGCTATGCACCTGCAGGGGGCGCTCTCTGCAAAGAGTTCTGTATGTGAGCTTCTGAAAAGCCCCACAGAGATGACACCCGGCTCCCTCTAGCCAGTTCCTTTATTCTTTCCAAAAGGCTCAAAGTATTTTTTTTTTCTAACCGGATATTACTGCTGCAGTTGTGAATTAACTCAGTTTCTTGCTTGTGAAAGCTATCGCAGGAAAACAATCTTGCATTGTTCACTATCAAATACCCCAGCAGATTTATACATCCTTGGCCAATTCAGGTTAAGGCCCCCAGCCAAGGATACGCTGGTGGGGGTTCTTGTGGTATGAATACGAGGAGTAGTTTCGATGGCGGCCGTAATGCAGGCCTCCTTACCTGGGGGAGGGCAGCCTCTGGGGCAGGACAGGGGGCCTCTGCGGCAATGGAGGGGGGGCATGTGGTTCTTTGGGAGACCCCAGGGGGTAGGACTTCGGCGGTAGGGGGGGGATGGGCTTATCTCTATGTGACTGGGATGAGCACTGCTCATGAGGGAGACATTGTTCGGTGGCCAAGGAGGAGGAGGAGGAGGAGGAGGAGAAAGATGAAGAGGAAGCGAGGGACACCGGGGACACCGGAGACAGAGTCACACCGACCAGCTGGTACTGCTCCACGGGCTTTAGGGACAACGTCTCTGGCCGCATGCGAGGGACGGGGGTGGGGGTGAATCTCACTGGCGGGCGGTTCAGAGTCACTCTTGGGGGGATGGGAGGGGGGGGCTTGTCCTGAATTTTGCAAGGAACAGCCAGCTCAGCAGCGCCCCCTGCTGGAGACTCAAGTGGCCGACGGAATCGGGTCCTCTCGCGTGGCACGGGTGTCACCTCTTCTGGGCCCGCAGGGAAGGCCTTCAGGAGGCTGGCCAGGATGCGGCGCTGGTGACCCGGCAGCAGCACACCCAGCCGCTCCAGGTCCCCTGTGCCCAGGCTGCGGCACGCTGGGAGCAGGCCGAGTCCGGCAGCCTGGAAGGCCCCGGCGTACTGCTCCAGGTGCAGCGTGGCCAGCCACTCGGACACAGGCTGCGGTGTCACTCCGGAGGACATGGTGTGACGTGACCGGGGCAAGGAAATCACTCCATGGCGGGAACAGGACAGCAGGGGACCTGAAGGGGAGGAACGGTGACCATCAGAGTCGAGTCTGGATCTGGAGCAGAGCGGCCTTTTCAGAACAGTGTACATACAATGTTATTTGGTAGCAGATAATCACAAAAAAAAACAGATGCTTAGAGCGTCGTAACTCTACTGCATTCATACATACCGAGGGACTGAGCTGCACCGCAAACACTGACTCAGCCGCACATGGACTGTGAGTCATAAATCAAACAACTCAAACAAACTGTGGAGGAGATGCCGGTGGTTCTGTAACCAGTCAGTGAAGAGGAACAGAAGCGCCAGTGTTACCTCGGAGGAAACGGCAGGTATGGACAGAACTGGAGGACGGGCCTTCAGTGAGGTGCCACAAGGGTTTGACAGGGAATCACGGTTTATGGGATTTTCCCTTTCTAGGGGGGGTGGGGGCAGGGCAGGGTCAATGACCTGCAAAAGGACACCTTTTGGAAGCTATTTCGGCAGATGCAAAACCAAACAAGCTCTGTCAAGAAGGGTCAGGAACCAAATAGGAGACCACATGGGAGAACTGGGAGTATTACTGGGAATCAAGTGGCATTACTGGGACAGAAGCATGATGCATGAAGATATATATGCTGCAGGTACAAGGAACAGGCAGAACTAACCAACACCAATAGCACCAAACCTCCATCACCTGTCCCCACCTGCTGGGACGGCCACGCCCCCCTCCAGCTCACAGTCAGCTCTTAACAAAAAGCATCACACAAAAAAATCTGGTCACGATGGCGGCGTTTGAGGATCTTCTGCGTCGCCGGTGATTTCCGCACAGTGAGACTGCCTGTTTCACCCTGCTCCTAATCCCCGGGGGGGGGGGGGGGGGGTTGACGCGTGTGTGGCCCATGCGTAAACAATACCTCATTTCACACCACGTGAACCCTGCTGAACCAAAATTCCCAGTCACACTCGTAATGCCTCCAACTTCCTCCCACTCAAACACTGGTCTCTGTGCTTGGACTTAAGAGAAGCAGCACCAAGAGCAATGCGACAATGCGACAATGCGACAATGCGACAATGCATCAGGATGATGTCAAGTCAGATGCGGCCATTTTCTTCTTAGGTTACAGCTGAGAAGCTAATCTAAAAATCCTAGTAATGACGCTTTCTACACCAGCCGGTTATTTGGTATATTTGCCTTTATAGACCGTTAATAACAAAGATCACCTGTCGCCCCTCAATCCCTGATTCTACAAGCACATAAACCACCTTTCATTTCTGCTTTTCTCTGCAAACGCAGTGAGTTAAATGAAACAAGATCCATAGGGGGCTTTTTAGAAAGGCTGTCCAGCAGAGGGCAGGGAGTGGGCTGGGCTGGGCTGGGGGACGTCCTCCTGTCCTTTTTCTTGTTCTCAGGCATTAGCACCACATGCTAATCTGACCATTCTTAGCCATGCAGGGATTCCTGCCGATGATTCGTCTCTAGGCGGGTGAAGGCGGACAGCCCTGTGCGGCACAGCTCTCCCCAGGCATGACACAAGAGCCTGCAGGGCTTGTGCAAAGGGCCACAGCTTTACTCATAGCCTTCCCAGTCACATACAGCAAGTCACTTGACAACTTTCCGATCACAAGATCTGCTCTAGAGCGGCCTGTGGATGAGCGATGGTCAAATGAGAGATGATATTTGGCACATGGCACCCTGGTGGTTCTTCATAAGTCTGCATGTGGGTCATGGATTGGCAGATGGCATCAGGTGACTATAAAACATATCCTTATAGCTGGAACACAGACTCCTTAGTTATGACTGCGGCAAAGTTCTATGCATCGACAGCTGTCCTCTGATCTTGCTGCAATATGCTTAATTAAGGGGTCACTCTCCAAAACTCCCCCCTTCTGGAAAAATGTGACCAAGCTAGCAGAGGCTCATCATCCAACGCCTCGTAGCCGGAGTCCGGAAAATGGCTGGGATTTGAGAAGCAAAAAAAAGTTTCCTCTGCAAAATGAGGAGAAGTGGCTTCATTCTGACTAGTTTTGACTTGAGAACCCCGGACCTGAAAGTTTATAGGTTTCAACTTTACATCCTGTGCAGAGGATCAAAGGCCTGGAACACATCAGTGATCAAGGACAGATACAGTCAGCTTACTGGCTTCCTGTACTAGTAAGTGACTGGACGACTGGGCCGACTTAACTAAATTGTTGCCCAACACAACACAAGGATTCTGCTACAGTTTCCTGCTTGCAGAGGCTTAACAGAATTTAAATTTTAAAAATGGCCGCCTCAACATGAGAAGAGTGTCGTTTCAAAACTCAAGGGTCAACCAGCAGAGTCCATATTAACCAGGAGGAATAACAACATCATTAGGCCTGTTTCTTAGAAACCAATCTGAATGGGAGAAACTAGTCACTCACTCACACACACACACACACACACACACACACAAAACTCAATGGCATGAAGAGTAACATGAACAACGACAAAAAAGAGACTTTGATGATTTCCCCTGCACCTCACGGCGGGTACATCGTTATGCAAAGAGTTTATGAAAAGCCAATTATGTAACCCGAACCGTACAAAACAAAAAGCGTCCCAGTGCAATTTGCTGATGCCCCTGCTGGGAAGATGACATGGCGATCACCAAACATGTCTGTGCATTTTCTCGTCCTGTTGCCCTGGTTATGCGAAATTCAGGATAAGCTGACTCCTGGACATGACAAAATACACCCAAGGTCTCCTGAAAAACCCCCACCCAGGAATCGCTGGTGCACGCAGACCAGGCTTCACGGCAGGGATGCCGACGTCCACCAGCAGGTCACAAACAAACAAAACCATACAAGTTATACCTCTGATCAGCAGATGACTCCAGAACGTGCCAGAAGCGACGCAGTGCCGAAACGACTTGAACTGCCTTGTTCTCCTGTCTACTAACGACTGTCAGCCAGTGCCTTTGCTTGGTTACTCACAGTCAAAAAGAACTTCCTAATTCTCAAGTTTGAGGAACTTCATATGCAAAAAACGAAAAAAAAAAAAAAAAAAGTGTCAGTGTGTGTATGCCCGTGTAAGCATGTTTAATGAGGCCAGGAACGGAGGGGGGGCTGAAACGGGGACAACACGGCTTGTAGAAAAGGGTCACTGCATGCCAGCCACTGGCAGATCCATAGTGGGGTGCCTCCTGAATTTTCCAGTTGACCACTCCCCCCCCCACCCCCACACACAGCTAAACAGCAATCACAGTGCAGCATGGACTCCAGAGAAAGGACCCAATGGCGATCTCGCTTTCTGTTTACTCAGAGCTGAGTGTGATTCAGGCTTTGATAATCTGCTACATCTCTTTCACTGCAATTCCTAACTGTGCTCGCTTCAGAGGACTGAAACATGGGGTACATCCTGTAACATACACATTCCCAGCATGGCGGGACCCTCCACATCACTCTGCACATCCCTCCACATCACTCTGCACATCCCTCCACATCACTCTGCACATCCCTCCACATCACTCTGCACATGCCCGGTGCGTTTTAGTCCACTTCGTCCTGCTGGTTCTCAGCCGACGACTCTCAGAGGGATCGAGTGACCCGACAGGAATCAACAAAGATATTTACACGGCGCTGCCCGCCGGGGGGGGGAGGGCCCTGCGCAAGCTCCCCAGTGCACATGCCCGTGTGAATGGACACACAGAAGGGCTTTTCCTATTGGCCATCCTGCTGCCCCGCCCACCCTCCAATTCTCTGTGGGCAGAACAGCGGTGACATCATCACAGCCCCCTCCAAACCCTACCATAATCATTCCTCTGTGCTGCTGTGGACAATGAGCCATTCTGCAGCACACAAAAATGAGGCCAACAATAAACAAAGGTGCCCCCCCCGCCCCCCGGCACCTCAGCACCAGCCTAGCAACACATTTAGACAGCTCCATCTACCCCCGCTTATCCCTAAGTCCCCCCCACTCCACTGCTCCTCTCAGGCAGGAAGGCTCTCTAAATTATTTAAATAAAAAACGGGGGGAGAAAAAACAAAACAGTACACAAGGACCACTCAGCCCCCCCCCCCCCCCCCCTGTGTTTACAGACCGTCAGCAATCGCCCCCCATTCCGGTGCATTGAGGAGCCACGTCTGGTACATCTTTTATTTTTCACCACACCCTGCAGCGAGATCACGAGGGGAGGGGAAGCGGGGAAGGTGTGTGTGCGCGTGTGCGGGTCACATATACATTTGGTCCCCACAATGTTATTTTGAAATTGAGGGGACCTTTTTTTCAGTCCACACAAGGGGAAATTCAATTTTATCAAAATTTATGACTCCAATCAAAAAACTAAAAATGCCCGGTGCGTTTTAGTCAACTTCATCCTGTTGGTTCTCAGCCGACGACTCTCAGAGGGTGTTTTGTTTGTGTTTTGTTTGGTTATTTATGGTTAAGGTTAGGGCTGGGTGGGGGTTAGGGGCGTCATTGTGGGGATTAGGGTTTTGGCCATAGAAATGAATGCACGGTCCCCACAAAGATATGAATACAGGTTTCTGTGTGTGTGTGTGTGTGTGTGTGTGTGAGTGTGTGAGTGCGCACGCGTGCGTATCACCTTGTCATCCTATGTGTGGTTTCAGTTCCAAAATTTTCTGGAATTGGACACTGACAAATTAAACAAAGCTGCTAACTTCGCTGGAGTGGGTTTGGGGGTGGGGGTGGGGAGGGGTGAGGCTGGGGGTGGGGAGGGGTGAGGCTGGGGGTGGGTGGGGCCACAAGGATCACACTGATGAGGTCATTTATGTGAACCAAAGCTCATGCTGTCTTATCTGCATGCAGAAAATCGAGATTCTGCACTCCTGCACAGGAAGAGCGAGCCCGCAGGAGGGGCTGCTCCGCTGGAGGGGCTGCTCCGCTGGAGGGGCTGCTCCGCTGGCACCCCCCAGCAGGGCGCTGGCTCACATGCCCTCCATCCGTCAGCTGGCTCACATGCTGACGTTGGCACAGGCTGAATCTCAGCCTGAGAAACACTGATGAGCTGCCAGGAGCGAGTGTGACCTGAGCACCAAGACCCCGTTTTACCTG